GCATTGGATGACCAGACAGACATGTTTCTCATGCTCCTGCAGGGGCTTTGGGAAAATCAGTATATCATCAAGGTACACAAACACAAAATGATTAATGAAGTCCCTTAGGACATTATTAACCAGGACCTGAAACACAGCTGGAGCATTTGTCAAACCAGATACTCAAAGTGGCCAGGATGCATACTAAACACTATTTTCCACTTGTGTCTTTTTCTCATTCTCACCAGATGAAAAGAGTTGGAAGACTACAGTTTTGTGATGATAGTGCCGCCTTGAAAGAGTCCAAATGCTGAGGTGAGGAGTGGTAAGGTTTTTTTTTCTGTAATCTTGTTCATGCTGTGGAAATCTATGCAGAGGCGAAGTGTTTCATCCTTTTTCTTGATGAAGAAAAACCCAGCACTAAGGGGAGATGATGATGGAAGGATAATACCAGCAGCAAGACACTGTGGTACATTTCTCCATGGCTTCTTGTTGGGGTTTAGACAGACTATGTAAGTGGCTGGTGGGCAAAGGTGCTCCGGGTAGGAGGTCTAAATTTTATCCCACTCTGTAATTAATAAAAGCTTTGAGTGACTAAATTTGGGAATCGATGGTGATTTTACCCAGAACCATGAGCCGGAGTAGGAAGGAGTTATCAGAAAGATGTCAGAATCTACACCGTGCCAGACACAGCCTTTCGGCCGCACCAGAGAAGTTGCTGCAAAGGCGCTTTTGTTACCGCAATACAGACAGACACCAGCCACAAAACATTTTCTTCGCGTCTGTGGATACAGCTGGGCCTGACCAAGCTGAATCTGGCTGCTTCCTCTAGGTTGGATCGTTCTGTCAAGGAGACGTAAGTAGAAGAAGGATTCAAACGCAGGGCTCCAAGTGAACGTCAGCTCATTTCTTTACAGTGACTCTTAAACAACCGAAAGGTAGTGAACAGTAGTAACAGTCCAGTCTCCTCAAAGGTTTCCTCAAAGTCCTAACACTATCCAATCTTCTCCCAAAGCCACACAAGAACCAGCTCACTACTTCACATCTTGAAAGGTAATCCTGGGCACAAAAACAGGAAGGTAAGAATCTAATTCGCACGCAGGCAACAGCAAGGCTAAGAGACATGCTGCACTGTTTCTCTAGCCATGACCCAGTGAAGACTGAGTCTCTGTTGCATCTTTATGAAGCAACCAAACAAGGTCATCAGGAGCAGGTGTGTGATTGACACCAGGTGTGTGGGAGCCAGAAGGCAGGTAACCAGCCATGTCATGACACACACACAACAGTTTTGACAAGAACACCATTGGCTGAAATACACACCCAAACCATGATAGAGCCTCCACTGTGTTTTACAGATGGCAGTAGACTCATGCTGTTAGACCTTTTCTCAGCCCTGCGTCCTGAGATCCTGTGTCAGGTCTTTGTTGGATTTTTTCCTAGGACACGACTTTCAGACACGGTTTATCTGCTGTAGATAGTTGCCACTTTTTTTCCCTCCACTTGTTCAGTTTCCTCAAAGGACACACTGCACACCAAGTCACACCAAGACATGCCAGGTTTTCAGCTAATAATAACTCTTTAGGAAATTATTTTATGTCTGTTAGTTTTGCTTTCGCTCAGAAGGCGAGTCCCAAAATTAGACAAAACTCTCCAACAGCTGTCTGAAGTCAGAGCTTTTGACTCACAGAGATTACTTTTGTCACGGCTGCCGAGGCGAGCCATGTGGTGTTGGAGGGAGAAAGGACCCAAAATGCAGGCAGTTGATGATAGTGCTAGTGATGTTTATTTACAAAGTGGCGTAGTGGCAAAACAGGCAATGAGGGATGACAAAACTAAACTGCGGAGAGACGCAGAGAGAGAGAGAGAGACGCGGGGAGAGAGAGAGAGAGAGAGAGAGAGAGAGAGAGAGAGAGAGAGAGAGAGAGAGAGAGAGAGAGAGAGAGAGACGCGGAGAGGGAAAAGGACACCGTGGAACACAGACGAATCAGCAACAGGCAGGAGAACACGCAGGGCTTAAATACACACAGCAGTAATCAGGGGATGAGAGACAGGAGGGCAACACAGCTGGGAGAAATCAGAGCTGACGGGACAGGGGAAACGTAAACTGAACACACTCACATGAGACAGAGACTTTCAGAATAAAACAGGAAACTCAGACACAGAGAACCAGACAAGACACTGAACTAAACAGACAGATTCACAAACAGACAGTGTGACACCATAGACCAGGGGTAGGCAACTCCAGGCCTCGAGTGCCGGTGTCCTGGAGGTTTTAGATGTGTCCATGATCCATCACAGCTGATTTAAAGGGCTAAGTGACTCCTCAGCATTTCTTGACGTTCTCCAGAGGCCTGGTAATGAACTAATCATTTGATTCAGGTGTGTTAACCCAGGGTGCGATCTAAAACCTGCAGGACACCGGCACTCGAGGCCTGGAGTTGCCTCCCCCTGCCATAGACAGACAGAACACAGTGGGACCAGGGCAGGCACAGAACAGAAACCTAACAAATGGCAAATCATAACAGAATAAATACTCGGGATAAACAAAAGCATAAAGAAACACAAAAGACTGAGTCGGCAGACTCAGGACCATGACAACTTTTACATATGCCAACCTCAGTCTTCTAAACTTTAGTCATGTTTAAAAGCATACAACACAGGAAATAAGAATAAATAAAATGTATTTTACTTATTTCTTTATTTTACAATACAACCTCAGAAAAATTGTTCTTATCAGTCTTTATCGTTTTAAGTAACTGTTTGAGTAATTGTTACTCAAACATGCAGAAACAGCTGTCGGGAAGCGAAATAAAAGCTCTGCTGTAACCAAATGTGAGATGTGGGAGGTGATTCGGAGATCAACACCAGGCTATGTCAGGACATATCTTCCTCTCTTTCAATTTCTAAATTTTCCCTTTCAAACACCAAGCTGTTTGCCTCACATTAAAAAGAAATCTCTAAAAAGAAATCAAGCAGTGGATGCACACGTGATCTTGATATCTTTTTTTCAAAATTCAACCACATGAGGCAGTATAAAGGCTGAGAGGCTTCTTCTAATGTCCTGTTACTATTGTTGGTACTCTGGTGTAGTGCAGGTACTGTACAGTATGTACAATGTAGCATCACCTAGTTCCCCCTCTCACAGTCCTTTCTTTCTCCTTACTTTGAATGATCTAGTAAATATTTCAGGCTTCATCCTCAAAAGAGAAAGGAGACAATTAGCACGCGAAAGGATGTTTAAACCAATGAATATACGTATAATCTCAAAACTCCAGAAAAAACCCCCGTCTGATCCCATGTGACATTTAAAATTTATATTTTGTGTAAGACTATGATTAATGATGAAACACTGACTACCCTACTATGGCAGTAGAAGTGGCAGACACTTTTAGATTCATGAACAATAAACAACACTTGTTCTTGCCTTGTGGTCCAGATGTTAAGATCATACTGGAATAATATTGCTTACAATATGTAGTATAATAGGCAATGTGCTAAAATGTTCCTAATAAAAATACTCACGTGCTGACTTAGAGATGTTCGAGAAAGTTTAACATTGTCACCATATATATTTATTGGCTAGCATGCTAGCAGTTCCTTTTAAGTCATAATGTACTGTAGGTTTGCAGGTACCATGGTTTTAAAAAGTATGTACAGCAATTACAGTTCTATCGAAAACAATTCAATCTATCCAATGTTCCTTATGTTCCCATATTAATGTCCTTGAAATTTAACCTTGACCAAAAAAATGAAAAAGGAATGACATCACCAAAGCCATGGAGTTTCATCCAGTTTTGCTCAGTTATCTGTCAGTCATGTATATTGAGATAGATGCTAATAGTGCCAGATGAAATCTCAGGGATCGTCACAACAAAATCTTTAATACTGGTGCCATTTTTCATGGCAATTTGGTTGTGTGTACTAAAAGCAACAAAAACAAAAAATCTTGACTTTCTGTCGCTATCTCAAAGGTAGTTTCAGTCCCTGGTCTACACTGTGTTTACCTCCATGGTGGTGCGGTTGCACTGGTGAGTATCAGCAAACCAGCCTTCCCCTGTTGCACACTGGTCCAAGTCAATGTCCTGAATGTTGACATCCACACGGATCACACCTCTAAAGCCGAACACACAGACAGTGGGGGAGTGGGTCACAGATGTGTGACAAAACAAAGAAACAACAGTGGCTCCACATGAGGTCTTAGAATAAGTCTCTTCTTTTTCCGCATACATCTTCATATCCCAAAGACCTCACTGTGCCATATTATTTCAATGGAGCACTTCCCTCTCAGACCGCAGGCTTACTTGTGGTTCCTAGACTTTCTAAAAGTAGAATTTAAGGCAGAGAAGATAACATGGCAAAGCTGTGGAACCAGCTCCCAGTTTCTCTCAGGAGACAGACACTTTGAATATTAGCCTTTAAAGTTACTTTTTTTTTAAAGTAAAGTTTACAGTTAGGGTTGGTTCAGGTAACCCTGAGCCATGCCTTAATTATGCTGCAATAGCCTACGGCTGCTGGGGGACTTCCCATGATGTACCACTCTTGCATTCCCCTCTTTTTTACTCCCCATGTGTTTATATCCCACTGTTCCAGGTCAATAACTTTTGACTTCTCTCTAGTCTGTGTTTTGTCCAGTTAAACTGAATTAAATTGCTACTGCACATTTTGCCTGACCATGCAAGACATTCTATTTCAAATGTTATATTTAATTAAACTCTTCAAACACATTCAAACACGAGTGTTATTGTAAATTCATTTCAGAGTGCTAGCTTCTGTCATTTTCAGCAGGTAAAATGGACTTGGAGTTTTGTTTAAACTACTCTGCTCACAGTGACCAATCGATACAACAAGTGTTTAAATGCAACAAGATCGTTAATGGTCTCATTAGGCATGATTTTGCATAAAAAATTATGACTTAAATGTTTTTCTTTAAGACCCTCACATTAGTAAGAGTATTCAAAGGACTGAAAAAAGTGCTCCCAATGTGGATGCAAATTTCTCTGTTCATAATACAAAACGTATAATAGCATTTTATGACTAGAAGATGTCATTGGCACCACTGATTGACAGCTCATCACACAGATCAATGGATTCACATCATTACTAAGACGGTTACTAGGAAACTGAACATTCCCAAACCAAACATTTTAAAGTGAACCAACCAAATTTCTATAATTACTGACATCATCAGAGGTGTCACCTCTATGTGTGTGCCTGTATTTATGTGACTGTTATTGCTTGGTTTGTGCGTGTTTGTTTGTTTGTATGTGTGCAGGCCCTAACCTGAATTCTGGTGTCAGGTCAGGCTTGAGACCAAAGAAGGAGGTGGAGAGTGTGAGCATCCAGCCAGGCACAAAGCGTTCATCCATACAGTCCAGAAAAGGAGCACTATCCCAGCGTACCCCACTGCGATTGGTCACATAGCTGTCACCCTGCCCCCACTTAGGTGTGTCCAAGGTATTGAGGTCATTGAGGAGCACTCGTTTGGACAGGGTTGTGATTGGCTGGCTGGACTCTGGGAATTTCAGTTTTCTGAACCAGCTGTCATCAGGGGCAGGAGCAGGTGGGTGCAGGCTCTCCCATGCCTTGGATAAGTCCTGGAGGATGATTGTCTGCACCTTAGCCATTGGGCTGCGAGTTGCATGGAGCACTAGCTGCGGCACCTGGGCAGTTGGGTCAGCATCAAACGTAAACAGGGCCCGCCGGATGAGCACATCAGCTTCTAGAAGGGCACGGACCAGGGCATGGTACCACTCCATATCCTCTTGCACCGTGCTCTCATGCAGGTCACTAGCTTGGAAGATCATGTTAAGAAAGTTGGCAGTGTTGGCTAGTGCATCCATAGCTGGCCTGAGGGGGGCGGTGAAGCTGAGGGGCAGGGGTCCCATCTGCCCACGGGTGCTATACGCCCGTGAACAACGGCCCACTACCAGAGTCGAGGGGTCTCCGGTGTACAGAAATGTCTCTGCCGGTGACCAGTCATCCTCTATTTCGGTGGGAGCTTCTGAAGTGGAAAACCCCGAAGGCTCTGCAGCAGTGGAGGAAGTGGAGGGGCTGGTGGAGTTTTCTGAAGTTCTTGTATTGTTTGTCAATGACTCAGTGCTGTTGGTCGTCTCCACTGTGACGCCTGATGGGAAATCTGAAGCCACCTGCGCTCTGAGGACGGATGGCAGCAGGAGGAGAAACCAGACGGGATCCATCCTGGATGCACGCTGATGAAGAAAAAAAGGGGGGGAAGTAACTGAAGGGGTCACTCAGCTAAAGCACGCTTTGCCCCTTTTGGATTTCCTTTGAAGTGATAACCCGTCACATGTTGTTTTGAACTTTTCATCTTCACATTTGGGAGGCACTGCAGCAGCAGGTATCCGGTAACAACGCTGCCACACGCGCTGCTGAGCTCTCACTCACACTCGGAGCGCACAGCTCCATCTGTGCGCCGCACGGAACCATGCACGCCTGAGCTCGTGTCAACACGAAGATGTAGTTGAACCTGCGAGTCCTCGGTGGTGGTGCAAGGATAAAACTGACGAGGGGAGCAATCCCCGCATTTCTGTTTCCCGTAAGGTGTCTCTAGCGTGCCGTCGCGCTCAGTCTTCGTTTCTCGTGCTTTACAATCACCAGTGCAAAGAAAACGCAGTGTGCGCAGCAAGAAGGAGGAGAGAGGAAAAACCTCAAACTTGGGGCTCCCTGCGTCAGATGGGAGGAGGAGGAGAGAAGGAGAGATGTTGTAGCGATGGAGGGGTTAAGAGAGAGAGAGCAGACTTCTCCCTTCTTCTTTTGCCTCCCGCTCTGCTATCTGTTGCTCCACAGAGCTTCCAGCCCGTCGGTTGGAAGCTCATGATGCTCGTCCCACCCCTCTCTACCGTCGTTCCCTCTCTCCTTGCCTCCCGCCTTCCGTCCTCCCCTTCCTTTCATTCAGCCCCGAACTCCCCCCTCCGTTTTGACAAACCCTCACCAGTGCTTAAAGGTGATGAGAGTGGTACATCTGTTGTGTGTGTGTGTGTGTGTGTGTGTGTGTGTGTGTGTGTGTGTGTGCGCGTGTGTGTGTGCGTACGTGCGTGCGTGCGTGTTCACAAAGCAGAGGATGATGCATTCAGTCAGAGATGAGGGTTAAGCTCTGCTGCATTTGGACATCCATCAAAAATATCTCTACTGGATGGTTGGATGGATTAACCCCTCGTACACGAGAGAAAGATGAGCATTCTTTCTCTCACACACACAGTGGAGGCCACAGGATGTAAAGTGTTAACAACCTCCACACTTATACTTCAGTTTTTTGTTTCTAAGTTTTTGCAGCATGAGGGAGTTTATTCTCTGTTTAGGCGCATGAGTTCATTTGTTAGTTTTTGTGTGTGGTGGGGGAGCTCGCGAATACCATAACACTGGTGCAACAATCGTGTGTCTTTCACACTGCTGAGTGAAAGATGTATGAGAAGCGTGATGAAAGAAAAGGCGACACAGATGTATGATGGGAGGAGTAATGCGGGCAAGAAGACTAGTTTTGGTGACTATGGCAACCAGTTTCTGAGAATCTCCCGCCCCAGCCCCCTCCTCAACTGTGAGCCACACACACACACACACACACACACACACACACACACACACACACACACACCCTCCTTGGGACTTCACTGCAGAACAGCGAAGGTGGTGCAGTCGAGCTTGAGGAACACAATAAGTCAGACTGTTCTCGTGCATCTAGAAAAACACGCAAACGACAAGTGCAGTGATGAAATGAAGCTTTAACACACCATGAGTCACATTCATACCCACCGTTTTTCTTCTAGCTTATCTACTTGGTAATGTTATTAATCATTTCATGCACGTACAAGTGCGCAGCTAATAAGGCACTAGAAGTTGTCACATCTGAACTTTTTCTTCAGTCCAACAAATGTAATCTGTCTGAAAACCATTAAAGACCATTTAAAACAATACACTGTGCACTGTGAAGAGTAACAAGGGAATCCCTGATGATGATGGGACACACATGCACTGCATATTTTGATTTCGCAAGTTTTTTGTTTTTTGAAGAAGAAATTGATAAAACACTGGGGTGAACTCAGTCTTACCAGCCCAGATTGTTTTTCTTCTCGCCTGAACATTGCGTGATTATAACTGATATCTGAACACGCTCCTACAATAACATAACGGTACAGATCCACTCTGGAATTCATGCAAATTTATGCCAGATTCAGCCTACACAATATTTGCGTTCAGTTATCAAATCATGCAGTCAAATTTTTTTGCTGTGACTTAGCCTAGAACTTGCTTTTAAGTCTATCCATCCCCCTCTTCATATATGAGGGTGTTCTAATATTGCACACAAAATAAAGTGACAGTTTGTGGAAATCTTGGTCCTACATCGATGGCAACTGTTCACTCCTGAGGTCTTCAAGTTGTTCCAGTTTGATCCCATATAAACAAACATCAGTGCTGACTGATCTGGCACCACCTGAGGTGCTGCAGATAAGAGTTTGGGGTATTCAAGGGTTGAGTGGGTAATATAGTAACTAAGATAACTAAGTAAATAAGTAAAGACAGTTTCATGTAAATATTATTTTAGAGGCTTGTTTATTAAAAGTAAATAAAAGAACTAAAAGAGCCGGAACATCTAGAAGGTACGCAATGCAAAATAGACCATAAATAATGATATAGAAGACTGTACTGAACGAGAGTAAATATAAGATGAAGGGATGTATAAGGAAAAACGATGTGTAATGACCCTCGGGCTTCATCACATCAATATTCAGCTCTGCAGGGCGGGTTGTTAGTTTGATTACGCCACATAAACATCAAATATGAGCAAACACTGTTTTCATCTCTGTGGCTTACATGTACACACACACACACACACACACACACACACACACACACACTGTAAGGATTAATGGGCCTTCATCTACTCTCCTAGCATTATCTGCACTCAGCAGCAGCGTCATCTATCACTACAGAATGACCTGCAGCGCCATCTGCCTGTCTCACAGCATTAATACAACACTGCTAGTCAGTGTGGAGGTTTGCGTCTTTGGAGCGCTTTGTTCAGTGTTTTAAAGCTACTGCTGTGTTCATACTACACTTCATTTAAACAAAGATATATATTTCTACATATTTACTTTTGTCGCACCACTTCTCAATACAGTCCGCATCTTATCGTGTATGACATTTAGAACTGGAAAATGTCATTGGCATAGCTCATTGACAGCTCATAACACACAGATATGGGCTGGTACCAGTTACTAGGATGGTTATTAGGGCACTCACAAAATGAACATTTCCACACCAAACATTTTAAATTAAACCAATCAAATGTCTGTTGTTACTGACATAATCATCAGTTCCATGTTTGTACTTGTATTTCTGTTACTGCATCAAGTGTGTTTGTTGTTGTGTGTGCAGGCTCTAACTTTAATTCTAGGGTCAGGTAATGGTTGAGGTGGAGACACAACGGCATGTTAGTTTGGTTTGTTGGCTAGCCTTTCTTAAAACATCAGTTTGTGTCTGTGTGGGTTCTCTCCAAGTACTATGGCTTCTTACCACAGTCCATACATGTTGTTTGTCTCTTTGTCTCTCTGTGTTAGGGACCTGTTCAGGGTGTACCCCTGTCTCTTGTTTTTTGCAAGCTGGAATAGGCCCCAACCCCCTGCAGAAGAGAACAGAATAACTAAAATAGGGACATTTTGTACAAACATTTGTGGTATCCTGCAGATGATTCATACCTGAGTAAAAAAAACCTAAATATTGTGCTTATAGTCACAACAATGGTGATCTCTCATAGAGCGTAAATAAAAGATGGCCACTAACACCATGACATCATGCTTTTGGTTAGTGAAATCATGTTGCAAATCCTCAGTCTGAGTACTTCAGGGATCTCAGTATTTTATAACCAGACTTGATGAGAAAGTTGCCTTTCTAAATGATTAATCCTACATATGACCAGACTGTATAAAATAAACATCATCATCAAGACTTGAAACTAAAAACCCAACAGGAACTTGTTTACTGAGATCATAGAGCAAGGGAGCCAAAAGGTTGTTTTTACATGGATTTATATTCCATTCAGTTCTTATTTCGACTGCACCCTGCTCCCCATCAGTGAGATTCAGGTTTAAGTCACTTCCACATTGGCATCAGAAGTGAAAACTGTGCCTATAGCCATCTTTGATATACAGTCTGTGGTCCAAAGTCTGAGCCCTTATATCATCAGCATGTTAGCACGGCCTTTGTGAGAAGGTTAGCTCGTAAGTATTCAAATCAAAAATGATAAAATGACTGCAGTCTTCAGCATTTACTGCAAAGTTTTCACATACTGAAAGCTAACAGAACAGCAGCATAGCTCAGTTTTTTAAATGAAAAAGGAAGACTGACCACCGGATTAGTGAGTGGATCCAGCGGCTCTGTCATGCTGTGTTTGGGCATTTTGATTTGGGTCTATTTGTTCCCTTGAAGGAAACTGTATCTGTAACTGTAACTGTTCTGCTGTTCATCATTATTATAACTATTCTGAATTATTGGATTGTTTTTGTGAGTATTATGAACCATAGTGCAGGGTTTTAATATTAGATTAAAACCTTTGCAAACCTGTCTTCTAGAAATTATATTTATGTATTATTTACAATATCATTATTGTTTCCATGGAAATGCTTCAGCAGTAGCATAATCACTGGCTGGGTAACTTGGGTTTGATGGCAGATATACAAAATACCCAAGGTTGACATCCAGACCTCTGTCAGTGGCAGTACAGACACCAGAATCACACCGGTTAAGGTTAGGGAAGGTTCATGGTTTTGTTTAAACGAGGATCAGAAGCCAAAACAGTTTCTGTAGCAAACCGCACTGAGATATTTCCATGTGAAAGGTAAAGCAACCATGAGGGTAATGCTGTAAACATCGATAATTATTTCCCCTCGCTTTTAAGATGCGTATCAATTAAAGTATCAGTTGTCCTTTAACCTGTTATGGACTTATGGCTTTTTGTTCTGTTATCTAACTGCTTCCTTAAATAACATGCCCTTGGTACTTTAACAGTGTTGTTTGGAGCTGGAATGGGACACTCAGCTTAGAAAGAAAGGTGTGTGGGTTTGGCCTGTTTGCTATTCTACTCCTTGTGGATGGCAGCTTAATTTGAAGGGGACAAATGTCTCTAATACATTTAGGAATCTCTGCATGTGTGTCTGTTCTTTACATATTTTCACAGCTGCTTTACACTGGGCAGGTGTTTCTGTTCTGGTTGGATTCCTGTGTTTTATTACTGGCTAATTTGGTTTTCTACTGCCTCACATGTATCAGTGGCACATGCAGGAAAGGCAAAGCCCTGTTTCACAGTGAGGTGTTGGGATGTTGTTTACTGTTCACTTAAAAAGGCAGTTATTATCATCTGTCGTTGTTTTCCATCCGCTTCTTCTTTTTCCACTTTATTATTTGTATTTAACTTTTATTTTTAGCTCTTTCCTTGTAGTTTTCTCTTTTTTTCCACTCGGACATCATCCATTGCTGTTCTCTCTGTAATTCCCACTTAAACTTCACTAAGCCAAATTAGCACCAGGGTATATTTGGATAGTCTCCATGTACATACTGCTGGCTATTAGACCTGCCATTATCAGTCAGCTGAGGAGCTGCCATGTGCTACAGCAGCTTACAGTCACCCTATTTCACTTGCTAATCAAATGTAATAGGGTGACCGCACTGTCTGAATCTGTGGGATGAAGCCAACAATAAGACACACAACCTTATGTAAAAAGTGGCACTCTGTCAGAAGATTGAATAAACTTGCTCTTAAGTGGGTCTTCATCATCAGATATCTGGGACTGTGCCACATGGAACTCGTTGTTTTTCCAGCATCTCATTAGATAAGAGCTATAAGATAGGTACTGGTGACAAGACTCCAGTAAGAATATGAACCCAGTTCTTATTTTACTGTTTCTGTTTAATGAATGCCCTTTTTAAACTCTCCTAGTTTGCAGACAGTAATTTGAAATCTTCTTTTGTATTTTGTTAGCTATATGTGAGTAAGGCTTACAAACCCTTCCTCGAAGCAGATACTGTGAAGTCCCAGTATCTGGATAATTACACTTTGTTTGTAACTCTTAAGTGTAGACTGTGTGCTTTAATAAGTAGTTTAAGAGCTACATCTCTCATTTTAGAGACCCAAAGGTAATTGGACAAACTAACAGAATTTTTAATAAAATGACTGAATGACAATCTTTTGCAGTCAATAACTGAAAGAACTGGAGAACATGTGGATATCCCTAAACGCTGCGTTTCATCTTTGAGGTGAAATAACAACAACCTATGTTTACATTCTCCTGACAAGGACCTCTTGCAAAGACAAACGCAGTAAGACGCTTTGACCAAGTTTGACATGAAAGACTACTTTGTGTTCCAGCATAGGTCCAACACATGCTTAGTTTTGGTCTGAACCAACTGCTGAGATAAATATAGGGAATCATTGTTCTTTGTTTCAGAGAACCTGTTGTCCATGCCTGGCACATATCTGTCAGGGGTTCTTCCAGAAGGAGTGCCATGGGGTGGCACTGGTCCCCTAATGTCACCCACCTGGTGTACTGTTCATCTCAGCAAATATTGTTCTTTGTACATACTGTTTATTTTCAGTATATTATTGGTATTAGTTATTAATTTGCAGATTTCAAGATATAAATCATATGATGCTGTATTATTACATAGCATTAAAATCATATATGTATTAATGAGTCAATAATTATGATCCAGTAATATGATTTTGATAAGGGATATTTTGCATAATGACTACTTTTAATTTTGGTACTTCAAGTCTATTTTGGCGCAAAAACTTTTGCACAGTTTGCTACTTGATAAATAAAAGGGTAATCCATCTTCATGAGAGCATAAGGAGCGTGAAATTGTTTCCTAGTGTTTCTGCATACATTTCCACACTGCTTTTCTTTTTTTATTAAATATTCTGATAACCTGTGAAAATCTACTACAAGCAACTTTAATAGATTCGGGCTTACAACAACCTCTTTATGAAAATATTGAGGGCGTTTCTATTTGTCTTTGAATTCCATTTAAGAGCTGTACTAATGTCTAGGGGGGGAAGGGGGAAAAACATGTGTAGCCTGTAGGCTATTTGTATATTTCCCTCGTCCCCTTATGAAGACGGAAAACCAAAAATCAGTTGTTCAGATGTGAGGCTGGATAGGCCAACTCTGTGATATTAAGATGCTGTCGTCGAATTTATGGTTCTCATCATAAAGTGATATTATGGGCTGAGCGGAGGAGGAGCGGGTGGGGCCTGGCTCGGAACAGAGAGGCAGACTGTGGTCACTGACCGGAGACTCTGCTGGCTTTTATTCTACTGAAATCAGACCGCATGTCTGACCCAGGGGTCCGCCTGCTGCCCGGAGCAAACTGCACGCATTTCTTCAACACATTTAACGGACGCTGCGTTGGCGAAGGGGAGGAGGAGGAGGATGAAAACATCGCCTGATATATTTTTTTAACGTTTTCGCTCATAGCCTATTTATGGGAGGCAGCAGCGGCTTGGTCCTTTCTTTATTATAGGAGCGAGATCTATGCGGTTAGCTATGTGAAGAGCAGATCGCCTAGCAATTCTCGTTTCGTGATCCTGACGAACAATTATGAACAACGCTCAAGATATGTCGCCCGATTTTGTGTTGATGCGCCTGGTTTCCGTGGCCGAGGATGACCGCTTGGACGCAGAAAACGGGAATCTGCCGCCGGGAGGAGTGGTGGCAGGGCTGGGGAAGGAGGTCCTGGCTCACAGCGGCGTCAAAGCGGGTTTGGATATAAGCCGAGATCCAACGGAGGGCCTCCAGCATCCCAGCAGCCACCTGAACAAAGCACAGCCGAGCACCGAGGGCACGGCTGCACCTGACTCTGGGGTGACGGAGAGCCGAGCCACACTGTCCGCGCCTCCGCCGCCGCAGAGCTCCATGGAGGCCCAGGGGTTTGACTTCGCTCCCAGCCCCGGCCTACGGCCTCAGTTGCTAGTCTTCTCCAATATAATGCGGAACGGAGAGGGGATTTTGGAATTAGACCGTCGGAATCAGCCGAGGGATGCTCTGGATCAGAGCCCGGGATCTGGCTGCTCCAGCCCAGCGGTCAATAACAACACTCTGAGTGTCAGAGAGGTTCAGCAGCAGCAGCAGAACCTGCTAGACAGGACATGGGGAGCGCATTCGCCAGCCTCTGTGGAGATGCAGGGAGCGGCTGAGCTATGCCACCGGCATCGACTCATCGCCACTACGCCAGAGTGGCCCGTGTTGACGGAGAGATCTAACCCTCTCACCGTGATTGACTCTAAATGGGGATGCGCCACCAGGGACAGGGAAGGAGCCGTGTTTGAGCTGGCCCGGCGGTTCGGGGAGCTTGGGGTTGGCGCGGTACCCAAAATGCTGTTCAAAGCAGGCGAGCTCCCACACTGTTCGTGTCAGAGTGCACATAGGCCGGCAGGAGGGGGAGTAGAGCCCGGCGATGACCCAACAGAGACTAGCGACGCATTGTTGGTGCTGGAAGGGCTGGGGAACGGGGACGTTGACGGTTTGGACATGGACGAGTGTCCGGAGGATGAGGCAGATGATGAAAACGGACGCCGGGAGTTTTTACTCAACAGGAAAAGGGAAATAGTTCAGAAAATGTCCGGGGCTTTCTCCATCAGCAGTTTTCAAGTGGAACTGAGGAGGCAGGTGGAGGAGACGGCGACAGAAGCAGCGGCTGCGGCGCACATTGCCACGCAGGTGTGCAGCCTCCACGGGAACTTATCCGGCCGGCTCTCGCAGGTAAGCTGTGGGAATACAGAGGTTGTCACGCATGCTTCAGCCAAGTCATCGTCGACTACCCCGGCCCAGAGCTCGCCCTGGGCCACAAGCCCGAACCTGAGCCAGGCATCGACACCCAGAAGGCGGCCGGAGCGGTGCGCCAGTGCGCCCCGGACTCCCACGGGCAGGGCCACGGGCGGGGAAAAGATGCTCAAAGTTCCAGGGAAGTCAAAAAAGGGCTCGTTAAAGATCAGACTGAGCAAATTGTTCCGGACTAAAAGCTGCAGCGGCTCCAGTCACCTTTTGGACAAAAGGCCCTCAGTGACTTATTCAGTATCTTCTGCCGGGAGTCTGGTGGACATGGCGTGTGCAGCGGGTGCTGAGCAGGATGCAGACAGGTAAGAAATCCTAAACAGATCTTCTCTCAGGGTCAGAACAAGTAAACATAGCAAGTTAAAAACATAAAAGCTGTCTTAATACATGTAGGTCAGAGACTTTTTAAAAAGTCTAACCTAACATACGAAATAGGAAGTCCATTATTAAATTTCGGCCAGTGAAACATCCTAACCTTTTCTGTAAGCTGAACATTGATTTCCAGAGGCTTGAACTCTCTCATCTGCCAGATCTTTCTTTTAGAACTTTTTGGTGCTACATGTTATTAGATGCTGAGATTTTGTTCTAACCTTTCTGGCTTGTCACCCTCTATTGTCTTCACAGCTAAGTCATTATTCACAGCAGCACACTGAAGGCAGGCTATGATTAAAAAACATAGCTTTAGAAGTCTTTAGTGCTGGAGCTAAGAGCATCAAACAGAAAATGCAAAAAGAGAGAGAGATAGAGCTGCAGGACCCACACACTATTAAAGCTAAGCAGAGACTGCACTAATACTTCTTCTGCAATCTAATTCTCTTCTTCTTCTTCTTCTTCTTCTTCTTCTTCTTCTTCTTCTTCTTCTTCTTCTTCTTCTTCTTCAGCCACAGCCAGCCCAGACTGACCAGGGCCCACAGTGCCTTTTCCCCAGCCTCCCTCTCTGCCTCTCTCTCAACTTTCACTGGTAAGGGTTGCTTTGGCTTTGGTTTTGATTCTCTCACAGCTTTGTGCTCAAAGAGGAAAACCCCTCTGATATCCATCACCCAAACCTTCTGATAAGCTTGTAAGTAATCGACATAATAGTATAACTGTTAATTTGAGAAAGAAATGTATGAATTCTGAATGTACTCCTTTTTCCAAAAAAAGAAAAAAAAAGAAGCCACAACCACGTCAAAATATTCAGTTTATTGTCACATAAAAGCGACAAAACGGAGGAATGTTGTGTCAAGCTCCTGGCACATCCAGCAATAACCTGAGCAGAGGTGTGATTTACCAGAGTCAGTGACTGTACACATGAGGAGCCTTTAAGATATTAAGTTTTATTTTTTTTCACCAGTTAAGTCGCAGCAGAAAAGACGAGCAGATATACTCTTTGCTGCAATAATTACACAACTTCAGCTCCATTTGGCAAACCATTCATACTTTGAATCGAAGCACATGTTGTTTAAGCTGGTAATTAACCTTAAAATCTACTTTAGGCTTTGGGGCTGATAAAACTAAACAATGGATGTTTAAAGGGAACATATTATGCTCATTTCCAGCTCTATATTTTTATTCTTGGATGTTACTTGGGAGGTTTTAAACAATCCTTTTCCATCTTGCACTGAGTGTTGGTGCAGCTCATAAGACAAGCTGTTTTAGCACCTTCACCTTTAAGAACAATCTTGTTTTAAGCCACTTTTCTTCTGATTGGCTACTGCTCATTAGAAAGGAGTTTTAATTAGCAAGTGGGTGGGGCTTGAGTGAAAATGGTCTCTTTTGATCATCTAAATGGAAACAAAAAACAGTATAATACGATCAATATTGTTTTCAGTGATTGAAGTTAAAAAACATTCAGCATAAATAACAAAATTTAAAAATTTAAAAATTTAAAAAATTCTTCATGTCTGCCTTTACTATCTTTGACGTTAATTTGTAGTAACTAATTCACATAACCCCTTCTCTCTCTGTACATATCTGAAATTTTCACATTGAATCCCATCACAAAAATATAATCCTCCTCCAAAACAGGGTCCTGTTTCTGAAAGATGAAATGATGTAACGTGACAGTCTGAAGATTAATTTAAAGCTGAGTCTGAAGTTTGTTTTAGAACTTTTTCGGGGAATATTTTTCTTAATAAAATCACACATACCTGTCAAACATATCCAGTCTGTCACCCAAAACACATAAGAAGAACAATCTTATGTTACAATGGTGGAACACTTCCACATGTTAGTAAAAATGTTAGCTTGATGCCAAAGCCAGGCAGTCCAAGGATACACTGGAAGACACTTCCAGTCTCATTTCTATCCAAGAAGCTGATGCAAGAAGCCAAGATTAGCACAAATGTATAACACGAAAAGCCCTATAAAGTCTATGATTTCCATCCTATATGCACAGTTAGCAAGTCATAAGAATAAAATTAGACAGTTTTTATCTTTCTTTCACCCTTTTAACTTTTTTTGGACAAACATTGCAAGATAAGAGAAACAAGTAAGCACATTTCACTCCAAATGACAAACTTCTTTGAATTACTGATCCAAACTCATTAATTCCCACTGCAGATGTAAAATGTTCACAAATGTAGTTTTATTTTATCAACTTGTAAATAAGTCCAAAAAACAGTGCTTAAAGTGCTTTACAATTCCACTAATCATTCACTCTCACATTCACATACTGGTGGAGGCTACAGTTGTAGCCACAGCTGCCCTGGGGCAGACTGACAGAAGCGAGTGCTGTAGAAAACATTTGGGGCAGTAGAATGTGAAACTGAGTCAACATGAACCTGATATAAAGTGCTTTTATGTTACGTGTTGAGATTAGATATTAAGTATGGCGAGTGTTTACAACTATAAATATTGAAGTAGATCCTATAACGCTGGAGAGTATAGTGAGACCAAATGTTGTTAAAGTTACCTGCTGTGTTCTTTTTTCCATGCTTCAGATAATGATGTAATTATATATAAAAGTAATATCTGTGGCTACAAATCTCAGTCTTCAAAAAGATCTAATGGTCAGTTTCATTCAGTTTTTTTTCTACTTTTGGAGCTTTATGATGTCAGTGAGACCCCAACATGGTCATCTCACAATTTACCAAAACACTACATGCTAAAACTGCAACTGGTGCAGTAGATAAAAGCTGATTTAGCACAAAGGTAAAAAGGGAGAGAAGGTTTGTGGCTCATAAGGCAAAACTTGATTCAGCACCTATGGCGGCCTCTGACGTTCCCTCTATGCAGTCTTCCACATTACTCACAGACTGAGAATTTTTGGAGTTTGTGAGCACAAGCTTCACAACCTCCAATTAGACCAAAACATTAAAGCTGCACCCAGCATTGCTTCATGTTGCAGAGTTTGTGAGGATGATTCGTTTGAAATCTTGGGGACTTTCAAAACCCTGAAGCCGTGCCCATGGCTTGCTCATGTTTACCAGCCCAGCCTGTATGTGATGTTTCACAACCAAAAAGCGAGCTAAAGCGATGTTGGTGGCTGAGACTGGATGTGGGCAAGTCCAGCTTTTTCTGCTCTTGAGGGTTTGGCTCTTAACCCTTTGATTTTGTTTCTTTCGCTGCCAGCAACCATGCCCTACTGCAGGGTTTGACTTCGGTAAACATTGAATGTGCAGCATTTCAATTAGCTGAGATGGGATATTCTCCTTTATTGTAGTGATTTAGGCTGATTAGCTGGGTGTAATTTTCCATAAACATCCTGCCTGGTGCAGCTTTAATGGCATGCTGCAGCACAGACAAAACAACACACAGTTACAGGTTCACAAAGCACAGCCCCTTTCACTGTCTTACCGTCTGCTCACTTTCCTCTTTCTCTCAATTTCTTCTTATCTTTTCTTCCTCCTGTGTTCAGGTGAGACCGTTTCTCTAGTGGATGTGGATATTTCACGGCGAGGGGCGAATACGCCACACCCACACCCACCTACACCTCCACCCCCTCCTCGTCGAAGTCTCAGTCTCTTAGGTACTTTTCTCTACTTCCTGTCAGTTTCTGTTTCTCTTCTCGTCTTCTTCCAATAGTAGTAGTTCACTTACAGTATCCATGAAGTATAAAGCCCATAAAAAAACAAACCTTTGTAAGCTTTTGGTTTCAGAGAGCTTCACTGCAGCTGGGCTATAGCTCAGATGGAATTGAAGCCCAGGCAGTTTCTCTTAATATTTCTGTCTTGCTTAGTAGTTTTGGTTACCGCCGGACATTTCTGGAAACTCAGACACAGACGAATTTTTATAATCTGCTGTAATCTGATTGTGGAAGCTTTTGAAAGGTCAACAGCAATCTACAGATTTAATTTGAAATCTGGATGCAGTGACTCAATCGATAGCAAAGAAGAGGGAAAAACATTTAGTCTTCCTGTTTGTCTATTTTTACTTCCACTGACTTTGTTTTTTGGTAATACAGTTTGTAATGACTGGTAGATGATGTTTTCTACTGCTGCGAGGTGAACTAAACAAAAAAAAACAACAACACATAAATAAGAGGATACATATATATATTATATGTATATACAGTGTGT